ACGGGAGGCATTGCCTTGGAGGAGGTGGGAATAGATGGTGGGTTAGAGGGGAAGGCTGGGGGCCAGGAGGAGGGAGGAGAGGGGGATCTGTGGTTGGTATGTAAAATGAATAGACAATTTCCTTTTTTTAAAATAATTTTTTTAAAAAAAGATTTATTAAGTACATATACAGTGTTTTGCCTGCATGTATTCCTGCAAGCCAGATGAGGACACCAGATGTCATTACAGATGGCTGTGAGCCACTATGTGGTTGCTTGGAATTGAACTCAGGACCTCTGGAAGAGCAGCCAGTGCCTTAAACCCAGAGCCATCTCTACAGCGCCGACAATTTCTTAATAATAATAATAAAAAAAATGATTACACAAATTTTGAAATTGAAAAAAAAAAAAAGCTCTGTCATAAAACAAACAGGCTATTCACCAGCCAGGCCAGGGGCAAATCAAGGCAGGCACTAGACCCCGAGGGCTCTCAGCATGCCCCAGCTGTCCCCAGGCCAACTCCTCCCAGAGAACTGTTGACTCAAAAGTCAACAACTGAGAAGAACTCACATACACTCCTAATTAAATAGAATAAAACAACCAAGAAGTACAGAAAAGGGAAAGGGCAGCGCTGGAGAAATGACTCAGTCAATAAGAGTGTTCCTCACCTTCAGAGGACCCAGTTCAGGCCCCAGAAGTCACATTCATTGTCTCACAATGACCTGTAGCCCCACCTCCAGTAACTCTGTGAGATGCCTCTTCAGGCTTCACAGGGACCTGCCCTCATGTGCAATACCCACAACACACAAAAAACACCTGCACATAATCTTTTTTAAGGATGTAAGTGTATGATTGCTTTGCCTGCATGTAAGTATATGTACCACATACATGCCTGATGCCTAAGGAGGCCAAAGAGGGCATCAGATCTCCTGGAACTGGAGTTACAGATGGTTTTGAACCATCCTGTGGGTGTTAGGAACGGAACCTGGGTCCTCACAAGAGCAACCAGTGCTCTCAACTGCTGAGCCATCTCTCCAGCCCCAGTCAGTTTTGTATGAAGCTCTGCCTTCAGTGTTGGAAGAGTCACAGTCCTTGTCTTTGCCCCTCCCAACACTCTTTCTTTCTGGCATTTTCTTAGCTCTTTACTGTTCATTTCCCCAGCATAAGTTTTAGGATCAGTTTGTCTGGTGCCAGCCTTGTCCTCCTTCACTGTCCCCTCCCCAGCGGCATGTGGCAGGGACTCCAAAACCTGTACTTTGTCTTCCAGATGAGAGGAGACATGGAAAGCCCAAGACATCATGGGAAGTCCAACCAGGTAAGCACCTGCTCTCCCACTGTGCTGGTTAAGGGCAGCCCCTCCCTGGGGGCTCCATAGTCTCTTGTTCCCTTTTGTCTCAACATAGCCATGGCTATCCTGGAATTTCTATGTAGACCAGGTTGGCCTCAAAATCAGAGATTCACAGGCCTCTGTCTCTCAATTGTGGGGATGAAAGATGTGTGCCACCAGTCCCTGGCTCTTTTATGTTTTCTATACAGTCCAAGGCTTCAGGGGTGGCTGCTCCAAGGTGATATTTTCATTTTAGTGACCAGGCACAGAGCACCAGGCTCTAAACCCCTTTAGGACTACACAATGTACTTGCTTCTCTCTCTCTCTCTCTCTCTCTCTCTCTCTCTCTCTCTCTCTCTCTCTCTCCTCTCTCATCTCTATCTCTGTGTGTGTGTGTGTGTGTGTGTGTGTGTGTGTGTGAGAGAGAGAGAGAGAGAGAGAGAGAGAGAGAGAGAGAGAGAGAGAGAGAGAGAGGAAGCTGGAAAGTCCATAACCTTTTACATTGACCCTCTGCTCTCTGCCTCAGCCCTGAGCTTTGGAACTGTTCATTTCTTCAACTGCTGTAGAGACAATAAAGCTGCCATGCACTGAGAGGTGGAGGGACATCCTTTGACCCAGCTCAGCTCTACACTGCATGTCCCTGAACTCCAAGGGGACCATTGTCCTTTATCTGGCCTGCTGCAGAGCTCAGGAAACCCTCCTGAGCAATCCTGTAGATGAAATTCACCCTTTCTTTTTTATTTTTTTGTAATTTTAAAACAGGATTTATTTTATTCTAGCCTCATCAGTGAGCTTCAGGTCCCAGTTAGAGATTCTGTTGCAAAAGACAAGGTGGGCAGGCCTGAGGATCAACACCCAGGGATGGCATCTGGCATGTGCGCGCGCGCGCGCGCGCACGCGCACACACACACACACACACACACACACACACACACACACACACACACACTACAAGTTGTGATTGGTCTGGGGCAATCCAATCTAGACAGAGGGCAGGTAGAGAAAGAGACTTCAGAGTAGGAAAGGAGAGACGAGAGAGTGCATTCCTGAGGCTGTGCCCTAACGTGTACCTTCACTGGCTGTGAAAAGGACTTTTATCTTTGGATGGAGAGTAGAATAGACAGGGCTGAGAGCTGACTTGAAGATTCAGGTTTCTTGGAATGGACCAATGAAACCATATGGCCCTCAGGTCTTGAGTCTGGAAGAAAGTAGTGTCCTCTCAGGTCAGCTCCGTGAAAGTTCCGTGTCTGTCCTAGTCATTAGCTGGAGTGAGACCTGGTGTCCACATCATAGAGACCCTACATCCAGTATGTCCTATGTGTTTGTTGTTTTTTGAGACAGGGTGTCTCTGTGTAGCCCTGGATATCCTGGAACTCACTTTGTAGACCAGGCTGGCCTCCAACTCAGAGATCCACCTGCCTCTGCCTCCAAAGTGCTGGATTTAAAGGCGTGCTCCACCACTGCCCTGCTTGTCTACAGTACAAGAGATGTGGGTGTGACACTGGGAGAGGCCTGGGACCCTGCTACTTGGTCTTCATGCCTTCTATGACCTCTAGTTTAGAACGTTTTGGAGATTGTGTAAGGGCCATCATCCAGTGGTTGTCAGTGGACTTTTTGAGACAGGGTTTCAAGCAGCCCAGGCCAACATTGAATTCTTCATCTCCCTGTGCCCACCTCCCAAGAGCTTGGATTACAGTTGTGTGCCACCATACCTGCCTGTAATTGTGACCATTGAAAAAGAGACTCCAGGGCACATTGAGTGGCTCTTTACCTTTGCCATGAGGTCTGATGACATACACATGGCACAGCTGTTCAATGCCTTTTCCATCCAGATCTGGGCGGCAACATTGCTCAACAGTATCTTGAAGTTGGGGCAATCCTCTTCCCTCCCCCAGTCTAGAGTCCTGGTTTTCACAAACACACCCAGACACAGCCAAGAGCCCTTGGTAGGGAAGGACCTTCCACAGACAGGGAAAGGTCATCCACCTGCTCCCAGCAGGAGCCTGATCGGCCTGACACCCTCACCTCCTGCAGGAGAAACACATCTGGGGCTCCATGATGAGGATGGCTCTCATCCTGGGCTCTGGGCTGCTCTTGTCTGTAGCCTTCTGGAACTCAGTCACATGGTAAGTGTGCCTCAGACCTTTGGGGTGAGAGGCACGGCATGAAAGAGCTGGCTTCCCAGTCTGCTCACAAACACGTAAATGCTTTTCTCTCCAAGGCATCTTCAGAGGTTTTGGGGTGCTTCTGGCTACTTTTGGCAGACCCAGTGGGAGAAACTGCTGTCTACATTTGAAGGCAACGAGTGGATGCTGTTCCTTACAGGTGAGGATCCAGGCTGAGGGCTGTGTGTTGGGCTCCACACTTGTTCTTTCCCCATACTAGTTCATTATCATTTATTGTTGTCATTTTAATATCATTATTATATTTATTTCATGTGCCTGTGAAGGAGGCATGAGCATGCCAGAGCATGCATGTGGAGGTCAGAGGACAATTGCAGAAGTTGGTTCTTGCCTTCTACCATGTGGTGCTGGGAATTAAACTCAGGTTTCAAGCTTGCTGCAAGGCTTTACCTGCTTGTGGGTTCAATTTGCTGTTTGTTGTGGGTTTTTATTTTATCCTTTTTTGGGGGGTGGGGTTTCAAGACAGGGTTTTACTGTGTAGTTTTGGTGCCTCTCCTGGATCTCCCTCTGGAGACCAGGCTGGTGTCAAACTCACAGAGATCCTGGTAGCTCTGCCTCCTGAGTGCCGTGATTAAAGACTTGTAGCTACCTCTGCTCAACTTTGTTGTGGCTTTTTTTTTTTTTTTTTTTTTTTTTTCGAGACAGGGTTTCTCTGTGTAGCTTTGCACCTTTCCTGGAACTTGGAACTCACTTGGTAGCCCAGGCTGGCCTCGAACTCACAGAGATCCACCTGGCTCTGCCTCCCAAGTGCTGGGATTAAAGGCGTGCACCACCACTGCCAGGCTTGTTGTGTTTTTTGAGACAGGGTCTCATTATGTAGTTATGGCTGTCCTGGAATTCAGTTTATAGACCAGGCTGTCCTTGCACTCACAGATATCCTCCTGCCTCTGCTTCCTGAGTGTTAGGATTAAAGCATGCTCCACTACCTGCCCAACCTGCTGTTTTTAATGAAGGTTTTCGCTGAATACTTGTACCATCTTGGCACATGAGCAAGGGCTTAATATTTCAAAGGGCCAGCCCTGATCTGTCATGTGAAGGACTCTTAGGTCATCTCCTACTCACAGACAATTAGGCTACTCTAAATGTTTCCTGTGATTTAAAAAAACAATTTATTTCCTGTATGTGTTTGTGTGTATGCCTGAGTCTATGTACGTGCACCATGCTCATACAAGAGCTGGGAGGTCAGAGGAGGGTATTGGTTTCCCTTGGAGTTACAAATGGTTGGGAGCCACTATGTGGGTAATTGGAATTGAACCTGGGTCCTCTGGAGGAGCAGCCAGTGCTCTTAACTATTGAGCCATGTCTCTCTATCTCCCAGGTATTCCTGTGATTTCATTTTATTTTATTTTGATTTTTCCAGACAAAGTTTCTCTGTGTAGCCCTGACTGTCCTGGAACTCACTCTGTAGACCAGGCTGGCCTCAAACTCAGAGCTCCACATGCCTCTGCCTCCCAAGTGCTGGGATTATAGGCGTTCGGCCCCACTGAGCAGCTTTTCTTGTTCGGTTTAAAGATGCTGTATCAGCATCTCTACGCACAAACGTATGTGTATTTCCTTTCTGTCTCTTTCTTTTTCACTTCAGAGTCTTTCCAACTATCCTGCAGAATGGGTCTACCAGTGCTCTTCCCACACTGGCCATGTCCTTCCTACAGCCCTCCGACCCCAGACACCGTGTTTGATGGGAAAGGGAAGGGTTAAAGGAAGGAGATAGAGACAGTGAAACAGTGTCCTTGTCCCTCAGGATTCTCAATCCAGTAAGAGGTCACAGTAGTTAGATAACACTGTCATATCCCTTTGAATACTGTCATAAGTGGGAGATTAAAGATATGACAATGTGGGCGTGAAACATACAGCCACATTAAGTGTGACTTGGTCAGCATTTTCTTATTATTTATTATTGTGTGTGGGATGTGGGCAGGGACATGCATATTCCACATTAGGTGTGTGGAGGTCAGAGGACAGGTCTGAAGTTACTGCTCTCTTTGCACGTTAATGTGGTTTGTGGGGTGGAGTTCAGATCATCAGGCTTGTCTAACAAGAGCTTTACCACTAGCCATCCTGCAGGCTCTATTTTTCTTCTTCTTGGCATAGGGTTTCAAGTATCCCAGATGTCCAAGAATGGGCTATGTAGCTGAGGATGGCCATTGAACTTCTGAGCCTCCTGCCTTCGATCAGTATTTTTTAAAAATTTCTTTCTTTGTTGGGGGGTGGGGCAGGGTTTCTCTGTGTTGACAGCCCTGGCTGTCTTGAAACTCACTCTGTAGACCAGGAGGGCCTTGAACTCAGAGACATCTGCCTGCCTCTGCCTCCCAAGTGCTGGGATTAAAGGCGTGCTCTACCACTGTCCAACTTCTAAAATATACATAGAGTGTCAGCACTGGGAATAATAGACCAGGTGTCCAAATTGCTTCACCATTCATATAGGAACACTCTTCTGAGCTAAAGGGAGTGTCATCAGTAACTGTGCTTAGAGGGTACAGCAGCAACACTTATCCCAGCAGGCAGTTGACGCAGGAGGATTGCCATGAGTTTGGGGTCTGTCTGGACTATACAGTGAGTTTCAGAGCAGCCTAGGACAGACTGAGACCCTGCCTCAAAACAAATCAAACAAAACAAAACAAAACACAATACCCCAAGTGTGGTGGGACATACCTTTAATTCCAGCATTTAAGAGGCCGAGCCAGGAGTTAAATGAGTTCAAGGCCAGCCTGGACTACACAGAGAGACCCTGTCACAAACACACACACAGGGGAGGGGTGAACACACATAGTCAGAAAGACAGACAGACAAGACAGAACAAATACAGACATTTAGTGACTTTTCCAGGTCCATGGCTAGGACACAAGCAGTGTGTCACCAGGCAGGGACAGATCCATGCAGGTGTTCAGTCACTTCCTAGTGAGCTACTGTGGTACCCAGGACTGCTCTAAGTCCCTCTGCTCTCTGCCTAGGTACTTTCCTCGTCCCTGGGCTCTGTTTCTGGGGCTTCAATGGCCTCCTGCTGGTGGTGGACATCACAGGGAAACCCACCTTCATCTCCCGTTACCGCATCCAACTGGGCAAGAACGAGCCGGTGAGTGTCACTGCAGCTGTTAGTCTGGGGATGCCGGGACCAGAGTCAGGGCAAGAAGATGACTTACCTTCCAGGTGACCTGAATCCAGCTTAGAGAGAAGGGAGCGTTTGTGCGTGTTTGTGTGTGTGTGTATGTGTGTGTGTGTGTGTGTGTGTGTGTGTGTGTGTGTGTGAAAGAGAGAGAGAGAGTGTGTACTTGGTTGGTAGAGTGCTTGTCTAGCCTGAAAGAAGCCCTGAGTTCCACCCAAAGAGCATATATGCACATGTGGAGGTGTGCAGCTATAATCCAAGTATTAGGGGAGGGGAGGCAGGAGGTAAAAGTTCAAAGTCATCCTTGGCTACATGAGAAGTCTGAATGTACCTAGGGCTACATGAGACCCTGTCTAAAAGAAAAGGCCAGTGAGATGGTTCAGCAAGTAAGGTCATCTGCTGCCAAGCCCGAAGACCTGAGTTTGATCCCTGGAACCCACACAGAGGAAGAAGAAAAACTTCATTTATTCTGACCTTCAGGTGCTCATCAGGACACAGAGGCACCTACACACACACACACACCCTAATAAAAAAAGAAAATGAAAAGGCCACTCAGCCAGTGACCAGTCTACACCAATGTCCTGGTCTCCTTATTCCCAGCACAGGCTGCCCCATGACACTGTGTTTAGCGTATTAGGGAAAGAAATGACTGCCTCAGCCTGGCCTGGGCTGTCTCAGAAACACCAGCAGCACTTTACCCATGGCACAGGGACCATGAATCTGAAACCAGACATCCACTGCCCCAAGGGAGGAAACTTCACTGTGGCAGATGGTGGTGCAGACCGTGGATGAATGAGGTAGTCATGTTAGCAAATCCTTATTTATTTTTTTGTTAAGACAGGATCTCTCTATGTAGTTCTGCCTGTCCTGGAACTCACTATGTAGACCAGCCTGGCCTTGAACTCACAGAGATCAGCCTGCCTCTGCCTCCCAGGTGCTGATATCAAAGGCATGCACCACCATCATCCAAGGCAGCCAGCAGTGTGAGCTGTCAAGACAACCACAGGAAGGCAGGAATAGCTCCAGCTTCTTAGCAGCTGCACTTGCTCACTGTAGGGGCTGAATCACCACACTGCAGTCTGGCCCTGCCTGCCTGCTGCTCTGACAACCTGCAGACAATCTTCCCTTACACAACCCTGCAGAGGTTGATTAGGAAAACAAGCTGTTCCCTCAGCCCCACCCAACTCTCCTGGCAATTGGCTGTTAACCTGCCCAGGTGCCCAATGAGTCACCTCTGCTCTCAAGGAGTCTGCCCAGCCTGACCCTGAAGGCAGTAGGGTGGAAAGGAGTCCTGGTGGAGCCCTGTGAAATGGTCCCCTCCTGAGAGGACAGCTACCAGAGAGCTGGGAGCCTCCCTCCAGCTCCCCCTGGCAGAACAGCCTGGAAGCCCTTGTGTCAGTATTTGGCCTGTAAGACCCTTTCATCTGCAGACCTTCTGTCTCTGAGCAGCCACCATGACTAAATGCCTTCATCTTCAGGCTGAGCGCTGTGGGGTCTGTCATGTTTCAGATGAAGCTTTGTCATGGACCCTGGGTATCACATGACATAGACTAGAACATCCTCTTTCTTCCCTTCTCCCAACCCAAACAGGGTCTCATTGGGCCCAGCTGGCCTCCACCTTCCTATATAGTTGAGGATGACCTTGAACTCCTATCTTCCTTCCTCCACCTCATTATGTTATGATACTGAGGATCAATCCCAGGGCTCAAGGACACCAAGAAGGCCCTCTACCCACTGAGCCATGTCCCAGCCCCACCTTGGGCCTTTCCAGCTCCAGGGCTCCTACAGATCCTCAGCAGTCTACAGCTCTAGATATCATGTGCCACCTGGAAACCTTTCTGTATGCAGTGACTCGAGAGCAGTAGGCCGTGTGGGGGCTTCTCCCAGAGGCCAAGGTCTAGAGGTGAGGGACCTGTTCAAGTTTCAGCTTTCCAGGCCGCAGAGGCAGAGCTCACCCATGAAACTCCAAGGCCAGCACACCTGTGCTTCAGACTTTCTGAGGACACATCAGGAAGGAGCTTGGGACCATCTAGTCCCTGGCTAGCTGTGGGAGGTGCTGACTTTTGAAGGATCCTAGGAACAGGCTGCAGTGGGAGCTGATGGCGGCAGGCATTCCTAGCATCCTAGCCTGCCCACACAGACACTCTCCCATTCTCTCCTTCCTAACCTGGCTTCTGCTGCACCAAGGGAATGAAAGCCCCATAACCAGCTCCAACAGCACTGGGTCTCCTGCTGTGTTCTGGGTTGTGCCTGCCAGTCTCCTGGCTCCTGTCCTTTTTGATCCAGGAAATGACTCTGCATGCTTCCCTCTTTCTTACTATTCTGTCTCTTTCAAAACCCAGCTAATTTCTCTTTGAATTGTCACGTAAATGCTTTACTTTTGCCATCTCTAAAAAGTAAAACACAGGGGGCTGGAGAGATGGCTCAGAGGTTAGGAGCTCTGACTGTTCTTCCAGAGGTCCTGAGTTCAATTCCCAGCAACCACATGGTGGCTCATAACCATCCGTAATGAGATCTGGTGCCCTCTTCTGGCCTGCAAGCCTACATGTAGGCAGAATACTGTATACATAATAAACAAATAAATCTTTAAAAAAAAAAAAAAGTAAAACACAAACCTTGGCTGGGTGTGATGGCACACAGCTGGAATGGTGGCATCAAGAGGGAGGTAGGAGGAGAGATCAGGAGTTCAAGAGCAGCTTTCCCTACATGAGACTGTTTCAATACATTAAAAAATGTGTGTGGGTGCTTTGTCTGCATGTATGTCTGTGTACCACACATATGGGGCACCCAGAGTCCACAAGAAGATACCAGAGTGACAGTAAGGAGCCACCATATGCATGCTGGGAATCTCACTGGGTGCTCTGTAAAAACAGCCAGTGCTGGTAATCAGTCATCTCTCCAGCAGCCAAGACCATTTCCAAATCCAAAACCAGCCCCTGCCCCACTTAACCCAAGTCCACACCGCCTCCTGTTATGCTTCCCATGAGGCACAGCTCTCTACAGAGTCAACTATGCACTCAAGCTGTCTACACTGTCTCAGAGTCCTCTATGCACCTTCTCAGAACATCTACACTGTCTCAGAGTCCTCTATGCACCTTCTCAGAGCGGTCTACACTGTCTCAGAGTCCTCTATGCACTTCTCAGAGCGGTCTACACTTTCTCAGAGTCCTCTATGCACTTCTCAGATCGGTCTACACTGTCTCAGAGTCCTCTATGCACCTTCTCAGAGCTGTCTACACTGTCTCAGAGTCCTCTATGCACCTTCTCAGAGCTGTCTACACTGTCTCAGAGTCCTCTGTGCACCTTCTCAGAGCTGTCTACACTGTCTCAGAGTCCTCTATGCACTTCTCAGAGCTGTCTACACTGTCTCAGAATCCTCTATGCACTTCTCAGAGCTGTCTACACTGTCTTCTCAGAGTCCTCTATGCACTTCTCAGAGCTGTCTACACTGTCTCAGAGTCCTCTATGCACTTCTCAGATCGGTCTACACTGTCTCAGAGTTCTCTATGCACCTTCTCAGAGCTGTCTACACTGTCTCAGAGTCCTCTATGCACCTTCTCAGAGCTGTCTACACTGTCTCAGAGTCCTCTATGCACTTCTCAGAGCTGTCTACACTGTCTCAGAGTCCTCTATGCACTTCTCAGAGCTGTCTACACTGTCTTCTCAGAGTCCTCTGTGCACCTTCTCAGAGCGGTCTACACTGTCTCAGAGTCCTCTATGCACTTCTCAGAGCTGTCTACACTGTCTTCTCAGAGTCCTCTGTGCACCTTCTCAGAGCGGTCTACACTGTCTCAGAGTCCTCTATGCACTTCTCAGATCGGTCTACACTGTCTCAGAGTCCTCTGTGCACCTTCTCAGAGCGGTCTACACTGTCTCAGAGTCCTCTATGCACTTCTCAGAGCTGTCTACACTGTCTCAGAATCCTCTATGCACCTTCTCAGAACTGTCTACACTGTCTCAGAGTCCTCTATGCACTTCTCAGAGCGGTCTACACTGTCTTCTCAGAGGTGTCTATGCACTTCTCAGAACTGTCCATGTCCTCTCAGAACGGGCTATGCAGTCTCTGACCTTCCTCTTGGCTGTCTTTTTCCCAGCATTTAATAGTAAGGAAGTTGTTTTTATATATATATATATATATATATATATATATATATATATATATATATATATATATATATATATATTTATATTTATATTTTTTTTCCTTAAGCCTACAGCAACCGGCATTCCCATAGTAAGGAAGTTTAAAACAGCGAGAAATGTAGGAAAAATATAGGAGACTCATCCACACACCATTTCAGATTCAACCATTTACTCTGTAACTTTTTCCTAAACTGTTACAAGTTTGAGACACTGGGTGACTCCTATTGTTTCTAGTCTCTTTCTGCTGACTCCTCCATCCTGTTTCTCTAGTCCTAATTCTCAGATACCCAGGGGTATCCTGCAGCCACCAGGGCACTGGGTGGAGGCTGACAGTTCTTAGGCAATGCAAAGTGACCATTTATCCTTTTCTCCTGGGACTAGTGTGTCATCTGTTCAGCATCTCAGATTGGCCACAAGCAGAGCTGAGATGGGGGACCTGGCCATGCTGGCCTCACACCCATTCAGATGCCTTGTTCCCTTTATGTGGCTAGGACAGTCTAGCCTGCCTTGAGGTCAGAGACCTCTTCTGAAATCCTTCATCAAGATGGCTAAGCCAATCATCACTGCTTATCTCTTCCTATGTGTTTAACTGGTATTTGCTTCATTGTCCTTGTAGAGCACTGGGTGTTCTGTAGGCCAGAACTCAGCAGTAGTGGACCCAGGCCCACAGAACCTATGCTCTGTGGGATATTCTCGAGGACAGGCAAGGAATGTACTGCTCACCATAGCCAGACCCTGACTGTGGACTACCCCAGTTACTCCCAGAAGCCCACCCTGAGCAGGTCAGGTAGAGACCTACTTCACATGTCCCCTTTCTCCATTCCTTCTGTCTCCCGGCAGGTGGACCCTGTGAAACTGCATCAGTCTATCCGCACAGCTGTTTTCAACCAGACTATGATCTCTCTTCCCATGCTGATCATCTTCTACCCTTTCTTCAAGTGGAGGGGAGACCCCTGCTGCCGAGACCTGCCCACCTTCCACTGGTTCCTCGTGGAGCTGGCCTTTTTCACCCTCATGGTGGAAATCTTCTTCTACTACTCACACCGGTGAGTTCTTTACAGACACACAGCTGGATTCACCCTGGGACAGCTCCCTGGTCAGCAGAGGCCACTGAATGTCTCTGTCCTCAGGCCCCACACCCATAATTGCCTGAGACACAACTTAATCTCCAACTGACATGATGCTAAGTGAAGGAAGAGTTGCCCTGCTTGGGAGATCGGGTCAGTTCCCATCCACTTCCGGAGAGTCCTTTATGGCATCAGTTTCCTTCACCACTGGGGTTACCAGGCAACATAAGCCTGCCTTATCGTCCACAGTCAGACTAGAGGAGGGCAAGGAGTTGATGCCAGCTCCTCAGATGTGGACCTCATTCCCACCTTTGCTTTCTGATGATCTGCTCAGGATGGAGGCAAAGGGCAGGTTGGCAATTACCAACTCTCAATTATCTTTCCAGGCTCCTTCACCACCCAACATTGTACAAGAAAATTCACAAGAAACATCATGAATGGACAGCACCCATTGGTGTGATCTCACTCTATGCCCACCCTATTGAACACGTGGTAAATACAGCCCCTGGAGCTCAGAATGGAGGCTGGTGGTTCTCTGCCCTTGTAATCTTTCTTCCCACTGAAAAGCTGCCATCTCTTAGCTATTCCAGGTGCCCAGTGTGTGTTACATTATTCTCCCCAACCTTCTATACACTGACTCTGCTCCAGAGGAAGGTGAAGCTGAGTTGAGTGTCCTAAGTTACAAGCCAAGGTCTCCCTGCAGCACCACTCAGGCCAGAGTGAACACCCAGCTGGGTCCCTCCATCTCCTGGAATCCTCTCTCTTACAGGTTTCCAACATGTTGCCAGTTATGGTGGGTCCTCTAGCAATGGGCTCTCACCTGTCCTCCATCACTGTGTGGTTGTCCCTGGTCCTCCTCAGCGCCACTATCTCCCACTGTGGCTACCACCTGCCTTTCCTGCGCTCGCCTGAGTTCCACGACTACCACCACCTCAAGTAAGCCAACAGCACCCTTGTTGCAAGACCCAAGTGTCTGCAGACAGTGGAGTCTCCATCTGAATGTGAGCCAGTCAAGGGGACAGCTGGGTACAGGGAAGATGATAACTAGGTAGAACCACCTCCATTTTTTTTTTTTTTTTTCCGTTTTTCTTGACAAGGTTTCTCTGTGTAGTTTTGTGCCTTTCCTGGAACTCACAGAGATCCACCTGCCTCTTCCTCCCGAGTGCTGGGATTAAAGGCGTGCTCCACCACCGCCCGGTGACCTCCATCTTTTTTCCTTTCCCTTTGACACCAGGTCCTTCCTGCAGTTTGGAAATTTTTTGTTTTGTTTTTCGAGACAGGGTTTCACTGTGTAACTTTGGTGCCTGTCCTGGAAGGCTTGTACCACCACCGCCCAGCCAGTTTGGAATTTTAACCATTATTTGGGTTCTGGGCCTGCTGAATCTCTCATGAGCCTTGAATCATCTCCTGGAACCTGTGTGCATAAAAATTTGGCACTTTTATGCAATGTGGGCTCTTTCTTTGGTTTTAAGACAGAGTTTTCCATGTAGTCCTTGCTATCCTACTTCTCATGTAGACCAGGCTGGCCTCAAACTCAGAGATCCTCCTGCCTGTCTCCTAAGTGCTGGGATTCATGGTTCCACACCAAAAATAGGCCTCATCCCAGGCTTTTCAAAGCACCATCTACGAGCATCCTAAGACAACAGACACTTAGAACACAGGTTCTTGGGTTCCATTCCAAACCAACCAAAGTGTCTGTGAATCATGGCCTGGGAGCCTGCCTCCTAATGTTTTCCAAGGTGTTCTGGTGCAAGGAACCCCTCACCCTGTCTGAACAAGCCTAGGTCCGCATGAAGTTCTAGCTTCTGCACACCGGAGTCCCAGTCAAAGCGGATAAGGAGCCAGGCATGGTGGTGCTGCCTTTAGTCCCAGCACTTGGGGGCAGAGGCAGGTATTGGACCTCTGTTGAGTTGAAGGCCAGCCTTGTCTACAAAATGATTTCTGAGACAGCCAAGGCTGCTAAAGAGAAACCCTGTTTTGAAACACCCCCCCCCCAAGAAAAGAGGTGTGAAGGGCGTGGTGGCAGGCCTTTAATCCCAGGTCTCAGCTGGTGGGTCTCTAGAGTGAGGTATCTCAGCACCCACCACATGTCTGCTTTGGTCCTGTGCATACCTACAGCCCTAGCACTGAGGAGACAGGATAGCTGGGGATTTGGTGAACCCAGGTCAGTGGATTTGGTGAAGAGGTGAACTCCGGTTTAGGAAGAACAAGGTAAAGAGAGCTAAGATCAGTGGACGACATCAATGCCCCACACTCTGGTGTCTGTGCAAGTAGTCATGCACAGTACCCAGAAGAGGGCGGGCAGGCACTTGCCCACGATATGAAAGGCCCAGGGTTCAATACTCCAGTTCATAATCACACAGTGGCTCTCAACTTTAACAAAAACCCTAGACCACCCTCAAAGGGAACACTTCCAATGCTCCAGGATGCTGTTATAGCCGGGCAGCACGGTGATGCTAAGCATGGGAAGGAGGGCTGGGACCCAGGGAGAACCACAGCTTCCCACTAGGTTCAGCTGAGACATTCTCTTCCATCCTTCAGGTTCAACCAGTGCTATGGGGTGCTGGGGGTGCTGGATCACCTGCATGGGACTGACATCATGTTTAAGCAGACCAAGGCCTACGAGAGACATGTCCTCCTGCTGGGCTTCACCCCACTTTCAGAGAGCATCCCTGATCCTCCAAAGAAGATGGAGAGTAGTAGTCTGCTTGGACCATCCAGAGTGTTTCCTCACAAGTAGGAGGTGTGGAGACTGCCTGGGGGCCATGCCGCCCTTAACAACTTGCCTCCTTTGGCCACCATACTCTGAGGACTGTACCATTAGGGTAAAGGGAATGCATGCTTCCTGCCGGGACAAGGCCATGGTATGATCTGGGCTTCTCTCAAACTACTTCTCATGTTCGTTAGGACCAGGAGTTGACTTAGGAAAGAAGAACTAGCTATTTGGGCTGGAGGCCATCCAATGGAGAAAAGTCACTGAGAGCCTGAGGGAAATCCTTGGTCCTCGGCTCCAATACCCCAAAGAGCTAGCTCCCCTGAGGCCTAGGTTGGATACGGAGAATGGGGTGATAGTGGGACTGGAGGCTTCCTGGCTCCACACACTTCTTTCACACCCATAGCCAGGGCACCCTGTGGTAGTCACAGGCCACATGTGTTGACATGCTAGATGTGGTCCCTGCTTCCTACCAAGAAAGCCTGGGTGACTTTTGCCCTCCAAAGATACAAATCCTTCAGAAGAAACAATGACAGGCCACAAGAGCTGCTCAGTATGACGCGCACCCCAGCCCCTGTGCCTTCGCCTGTTGTTATTGGGGCTGAACTGGTGTGGGGGAAGACCCAGGTCAGTGCTCTCTAAACCCAAAATAATCTCCTCCCCCAACAATGAGCCTCATAGAACAGGGCCCAAAGGCAGTCCCATCTTCCTTTAAACGGCTAATCAGCAGTAAACATGTCAGGGAGTAGGTTAGGTAGCAGTGAGCTTTTCTAGTCCAGTGTTCTAGAACCCCACCCTGGCAGCGCATGCTTAGGAAGCCTGGGATCCCAAGAACTTGGCAACTAGGTTGGATCTGGAAGGCTGTCTCCACTACCATTTGCTAAATCTCAGCACAACTGTGCTGAGCTTACATTTTCAGTTGGAGGGTTAGTCAAGACTCCCTATTGTGGCTTAAATAAAATCCTTTTCTTAACACAGCTTGGTACAGCGGTTTGCACTATAGTCCCAGCTGCTCAGGGGATTTAGGCCCAGTTCAGAGGCAGCCTAGACAAACACAACACAATGTCAATGTCTGACCAGCCAGTTGTCTATAACAGGACTCCATCCTGTGGCACTGAGGCGAACAGAAGCTGGCAACTTAGCATTCTGCAAGTAGTCCCAACCTCCTCTGGCCTTGGTAACGTGCGCCTTTACATTCCTTCAAAATGAGTCCACTCCCCCACTCTACCTCTGTCTCTGGATGGCAGGCAGCCATTTCCTCTCGTCACCCGAACATCTCCGAAATGCTCTTTGTAGTATCATCAAAAGGGGCAGAGACAGGAAGTAGAACATGGAGATTATGAGGCTCCCTGAAGGGTACATGGCCTATCCCCATAAGGTCTAATATTGGTGAAGGTCTTAAGTTCTCCATAATAGCATGACAAAGGAGAAGCATGTAAATAAAGTCTCTATTTAACTCCAGTGGATTGTGTTGCTCCCTTCCCTGATACACACCCTACAAAACACCAGGGAAGTAAGGCCACACAACTGAGGAGCCAGCCACCACAGCCTCAGAGGATGCAGGGTCCATGAAGGTCAAGGCTGGCCAAGCATCTGGATGCACTGCAGCACCAAGGGCCCTGCCTTAGGTAGATGCAGTCTCTAAAAGAGGCTGCACGGTACACTATGCTCATGCAGAGATAGTGTGGGCTTCTCCATCTGGGGACACACACCAGATTCCTCTCTCACCCAACAGCAGTGTCCCAGATGGGAGACCAGCCAGTGTTTTGCCTTTTCAAGTTTTTATTTTTATACATTTTTTTTGTATTAAAAAGAAAAGCATAATAATTACCACCAATTACAAAGGACTAGAGCAGGACCAGAATAATGAATGAATCACTTCAGCCTGGGAAGCAGACACTCTCAATAATATTAATGTTATGATACAAGCTCATTCAAGTATTTTACATTTTGTTGTCCTGTTGAATGTGACATCCTACCACATGGTAAAGACAATGTACGAGCGTAAGGTGGAACCTTCTCTGAAAAGCCCATGACGAGTTTTCCTTTCCTGTGAGAATTGGGCTGAGAGTTCTCTCCTGCCTCTGCCATCCCCATAGCTGGAGGAGAGAGAAGGGCTGGGGAGGATCCAGGGGCCCTTTAACAAGAGAGGTAGCCTGGGGCTCCCATCCAGGGGACCAGGTACCCCAGGCCTCTGGTACACTCCACCATTAGCCTTGTCTTCACGCCCTTTCCCTTGCTTCCAGACCTTCCAAGCAGCTTGCTTTCTTTTCTACATGTCATCAAAAAGGAGTGGGAAAGAGCAACAGAACAAAAACATTCAACAATATGACATGGGGCTCAGCACCTCTGTCTGAACCTAGGGTCCAGGCTGGAGCAGGGCCAGGCAGCCTTCTCTCTGAGTAGTGCATTTGCCTTGAGGCTCAGAGGGCAAAACACAGTCTGCCCTTTGCTGGGCCCAGGCTGATGACCAACCCTGTACAGGCAGAGGATGAAGGCGGTTCAGTTTGGCAGGCTGTCTCTGTCTCAGGTCTTGGATCCCGTGGGAAGATGGTGATGGGTAAGTGGCTTGCTCTGGTGGCCCCTGCCACTCCTGGCATACTTGTCACAGATACATCGGTCCTAAATTCAAGTGTCTTCAGAAGGTGAAGATGTAAACTACTCTGCAACGTCAACTCCTAACATGTCACAACAAATACAAACGCGCGCGCGCGCGCGCACACACACACACACACACACACACACACACACACACACACACACACACACACACACACAAAAATTCCCACCCCTCCTCAGCCTGTATTGAGATGATAGCCTTGCCTTCCTGCCCCAAAAGGGCTTCCTCCCTCAGAGGACCTGAGAGGATCAAGGAGAGAATGGCAAACCTAGCCTTACTAGTCTAGATGGGATGACCTTCCCTCACCCGGGGCCTCAAAGCCCTGAGGTTCTGTGGTGCTGGACACAGTCCAGGGCTGATGGGGAAAGGAAGGGGAAAGAAAGGGAAGGGAAGGGAGCCCACTATTTGGTGAAGGTACACCACAGGGCAGGTACCAGACTTCAGGGAAGGTCTCAGATCCCATCAGCAGTTCCTATTCCTGTATCATTGGAGACAACTGAGTCACAGGAGCTGACATGGGATTCGCACACACTAAGCACCGGGAGTGGGGCAGGGCACAAGTTAAAAGCAACAAGGTACCCAAAGACAGAGGGCAAGCCAGCCTGGGATGCTGTGTCCTAGTCCCAGCCTTTGGGACAACAGAGGAACTCAGTGATGAGAAGGGCCACACAAATTTCAGTAACCGAGCAAGAAGATCACAACCCCCTTGCGCTGCCCAGGTTCCAGTGTGGAGGTGAGCATTCAGTCTCCCCAGCCTGTATGCTCAGTCCTTCATCACCCTCCCCAACTCGAGGTGACAGCAGCCTCCAGCCACTCCTCTAGCATGTGCAGGGCAGCTCAAGTAGATGGTGGCTTAAGAAGAGAAGTCAGGTATACTCTATGTCCACATATACCTTCCTGCCACAGGGCTTCGCCAAACGGCAGGATCCCCCAGCCCTGGGTTCCTCTCACCCCTTGATCCCAGGCAGGGTCAGTGAAAGGGTGGGTAGAGATGGCTTGCAGGGGGTGGGAGTATTAAGATGGGAAGACCACACCAGACCCTTGAAGAATGGCACCTTTCTCCGAATTGTGAGACAAACCTCCTTGAGGTCAAAGGTCTTTAAGGTCAGACACAGATCTAAGCTGTGGTCATCAGTGGGTGTTCACCTCCTTGCCCTGGCGTTGGGGAGACAATTGGGCTGAGGACAAGTGTGTACCAGACAAGAACAACTCTGTTTACAACAGTCTGAAGCAAACTTGGCCTTGGGGTTCCGAGGGAAGGGCAGGGTGGGTTGGTGAGATGGAGCAAGCAGAACAAGGACAGTGGCAGCAGTGTGCAGACACAGGACGTCAGCTGGAGACGATCAAACGGCAGGGTGTCCTGGCACAGCTCTGAGCGAGCTGCCCCCAACTCTCTGGCCTCCAGGCGGGAGGCCCTGTACATGCAACTCAGTCCCGAGGAAAGTTCTAGTTAGTCCAAGCCCAGGGGCATCCCAGGCAGGTGGAGCTCTTCGGAGGCTCGAGGAGGAAAACAGGCATTTGGGCATTAGTTCAGGTTCCCGCTCCACAATAAGGCAACTTTTAAAAAAATATTATTTCCAAAAACAGAACAGAAGAAAAATTCCAAGGAGGGAAAAGACGTCACTTTCTATGAATTAGGTGGGTTCTGACTTTTTTTGTCATTTTTTAGTGGTCGATTTTGTCTTTTTTTTTCTTTCTTTTTTTCCTTTTTTTTTGTTGTTGTTGTTGTTTTTTGTTTTTGTTTTCTGTTTTCCCAAGGATGGAAAGGTCAGAGAAAAAAAATAAAATGAATCATCTTTCAATAGTCTCTTCTGGTGTGAGCAGCGTCTCTGGGCTGGGGGGGGGGGGGGGAGGGTAGGAGAGGCTGAAACTCCCCAACCCCATTCTGAGATCCTTTGGTTTCCTTCCCCCAGAGGTGGCAGAAGGGTATGTGGAACAGCAGGGACACGGTGATGGCAAACCCCAGTTGATCGAGGGGCTGGTGCTTCTGGGGCCCACGGGCACCGCCAGAGCCTTCTGGTGGGCTGCATAGTTGGCTGGAGGGGAGCGGAAGAGGCGGGGAGACGGGTCGGCCTAACAGCCGCAAGAAGGGCTGAAGAGTGATTTTGGTAATCCAGACAAACTATCAATAATTTAAAACTTGATATATATATATGTATATGTATATATATATATATATATAAAAAAATCTCCCCCCTTCCCCTCCCCCCTTAGAAGTTAAGATGGAAGTCATGGAGACAGGAGGGGAAGGGGTACTTGGAGGCTCCTGCCCAGGGGCACCACTAATAGCCCAAATGGTGTACACCGCAACTTAGTGCAAAGGCCCATCCTAGTTAACTTCAGGCCTGTCCCTTCTCTGTCCACTCTCCTGGGACTGGGCACCCCCATGGATCCTCGCCCACCCCACCCCTTCTATCCCAAACCCCAAGGGGCTTCTGGGCATATCACTTTCCCAAAGTCAGTGTGTCCGAGTGCTGGCTTGTCCATCTGGCCTCTTCCCGAGTGGCCTGGCCAGTAGGTGTCGGAGGGGGTTGGCAGATCCCAGCGGCAGGTCTGCTGGAAGACTGGGAAGGGCACCGCTTCCTGCCCTCACCGCTGCCTCCTGCCACCACTGGGTGTCGCTTGTGGATGCCTTCCTCGCCCATGGGGGGCTGTAACAGAGGAGTCACAAGTGGTCAGAGAGCACTAGCCACACCACTTTTCAGGACCAATCAGAGGCCTCCTTTCCACCTCCAAATGTAGACAGTGGTTTGCTCTACCAATGAAGTAGGGTCCATCCTGTCCTTTCATGTTGACACTACCAAAAATAAGGTAACTGACCAAACACATAAAAGTAACTTGTCAAAGGCCTCTTATATTTAGGTCTATATCCTAAAGATCAGGTTTTAATCCTACAAATTTTTGTCCTCTTCTATGAAGGGGTCTCTTACTTAGGAAATGACCTGTGGTATGTGGTATACATCATGGTGCATGTATTGGCTCCATAGGGCCACATACACTGGACTGTCTTACTCCAGCCCTAACTAGGCCCATAAGCCAACAACGAAGACTGTGATTCAGTCTGCCCTACTAAGGCCACCAAAAGTACCTTCCATGTACCAGGATCAAGCCACTGGTCCACCTTAACTCGTCTACCCAGCTACCTACAGGTTCTCTGCACACACTCTCCTCCCCAAGAGGATGTGTAAACAAACCCAATTTACACATCTGTACACTGATGATAATTCTAGAGGTTCAGAGTGGCCAGAACAGTTGGCTCACCAGTCTGGGCACTGCAAACAGTATCAGTTTTAAAATAACTGAGGACCACTGCTGCTACTTACTTACACCTACCACTTTCTGCTAAAAGTTCTCAAGAGGACAACAGAGATTGCTACATCATAAACTTTTTGGTTAAAGCCTTTTCTGTCTTCTTTGGTGATGGTCATCAACACAGGGCCTTGAATGAGTTAAACATGTACTCACCACTGAGGTACACTGCTAGCACCATAGACTATCTTAGCACAGACACCATGATGAGTCAAGCTGACTTTAAAGGCAGCCTTTGATACACTCGGAAGCAATACCTAGACTCACCACAGGATGTCACTGTCCAGACACTATTTCAGACAATGGAGAACCGGACATTAATTTGCAAGTTTCGGATCTTTTCCGGAAGGAACAAGTACGTTTATCAGGCAGTTGGTCCTGATCCTGACACAAACTAGGAGCAGTGGGCCTGGGCAAGTGGGTGAGCAGGACAGCAGGAGGGAGGCTGGGAACCCACAACTCTAGTGAGCACCGCTGTCCACTCTCACCATCACTTCACATACAGGATGAGGGACGCTGCTCTTTACAGGACAATTAGGAGTCAGAAGAGAGGCTTTCACTCACGTCCACTCGGAAGTCTTCTAGACGTCGGAATTTGCCGAGGTATTCTTGCAGTTTGGGGTCAATGTCCAAATTTTTGGCTTTGGAATATTTCAAGAAGGCCCAGAACTTCTCTAATCCATACAGCTGGCCTGCAAAGAAGGGGAGAGGTTGGGAAGCTGAGCTGAGATGAAGGGAGAGAGGTGGGGCCTAATACAACAAGGCCCAGGAGGGCTCCTGCAGCTCTGAGAGACTCTTACCAGCCTCATAGTCCTTCACAGTCTCCTCCTGGAAATCCTTGAATATATCCAGTCGGAACTTCTTCTCCAGACCATAACTGTAATATCGAAAAAGGCACTCCAAACCATATCTGTGGAGGACAGAAGCTGGTGAGCTTGACCCAATGCCCACTAGAACATGGGACTGGGACGGACGGACGGACACACGGACGGGGACACAGACAGACAGACAGACAGACAGACAGACAGACAGACACACAGACACACACACACACACTTTGCTGGCCTAGCAAAGGAACTCTGGAACCGTTATGACAGTGAACTATCCTACACCGGAAACATGGCAGGCCCACAGAAAAACCTCCAGCAGCACTAACACCAGCCCTGAAGAACCAGTGTTCATTCTGCCAGGGCTCAGCCGATTCTGCCTACCACACCCTGCACTCACACTGACCTGTGTGCTCTCTGTGTCTAACTATTGCTGTGGCCCTGACAGACCGCACAGCCCATGAAGCCAAAATTATTTCCTGTCTATCTGTTCACAGGAAAAGGTGCATATCCCTGTGCCAGCTCTCTGACCCACACCAATCAGCAGGTTTGTTCATTTACCTTAGTCAGAAAGTTCACCACTAGGTAGGAATGTGATATCAAGGAAAATACAGATTCCTATGTTACAGGCACATAAAACTGTTCACAGCTGTTACGGAAGAATCTTTTTTTACACTGTGAAGATGTGTCTTTGCCCAGGTGCCTTCTGATTGGTTTCATAGAAGAGCTGACTGGCCAGTGGCTAGGCAGGAGGTACTGGCGGGACAACAAGACACAGAGGATGCTGGGAGGAAGAAGGGCCGAGTCTTGGGAGTTGTGAGCAGTCACAGAGAGAAGCAAGATGACCGTGTTGAAAGAAGGTACCACCATGTGGCAAAAGGTAAATAAGAAATATGGGTTAATTTAAAATGTAAGAGTTAGCTAGTAACAAGCTTGAGCTATTGGCTGAGCATTTGTAGTTCATGATAAATCTGAGTGGCTACTGGAACACAGAGAAAGCCTGCCCACATAACA